ACTCCCCAAGAGCTACCCAATATGAGAGGGTTGGGGTCAAATTAAAATCCAGTGGGTGCCAGGAGGAAGAGTGTGTCCACGCTGAGCCCACGTGTCCTTGGGCAGGCAGGGCAGATAGGAGGAAGAAGAGATGCCGCCGGTCCCACACACCCCAGGAGAGACGTGCATCTCTTGTGGGGCTGGGGAGAGGCTGCACCCCTTCTTCCTCCGCCCCAGGCACAAGCTGTTTACAAGAGAAAAACCCAGCGGGACTCAGCAAGGGCTCCCCAGCAGGCTCAGGAGCCTGCAGACAGCCCCCGGGGAGCCCAGCGCAGCTCTTGCTCTCAGCCGAAGCCCCCTCGTCCGGGTTCCCACTCCTCTCAATATATTATTACTATTATGTGCAAGTAGTTTTGCATCCGAAAACCCCGAGCTTGACTCTCTCGTCCTGCAGCTCCAGCCCCACATCCGCCCCTCAGTCCTGCTTGTGCCCCAAAACGTTCCTCCAGCCCCGGGGTGTCGTGGAGAGCAAAGCGTGAGGGTAGCTATTAGACAGGAAAGACTCCACCACCCCCCTCCCTCCCCAAACCCCGGCCCTCTCCCTCGCACACACCCCCTGCAAGGACAGTCCGTGAGGGCCAGGTCACTCGTCGCCCTCCTCCTCGTGGTGGTGGTGGCTGGAGGCGGGAGGTTCTTCCACCTCTTGGTGGTGGTGGGCATAATGATGGGGGCTGGGACCTTCAGCAGGCATGTTCTCCTCCGCGTTCAGGTAGACGTTGAACAGGGCTCCCTCGTGGCTCGGCTCTTTCCCACAAGCCTGGCAGCTACAGTGAAGTATCTTCTCCACCAGCTTGTCAACCCTGGGGATCTCGTCGTTGCCTGGACAGTCCAGTGTTACCTGGGTAGAGGGATGAGGACGCTGTGAGTGAGCATGCAGGCTCAACGCCCAGACGGCCATCCTGCTGCGGGGCAGCCTGACCTGCCCCGTGCCCTGCAGACTTGGGGTATTTTAAGCCAGAAGCGATGGTTCGCTATCCATATAGACCTCCACAGTCGGTTCTCTGGGAACGTCTTGCAAGGTCACAAGCTGCAGACACCCAAATGCACCGACACTGCTCTCAGGCACTGCTGGCACAGAAATATCGGTGGTAACTGCAAAGGCCACCCACAAGACACGCTGCTGAGCACCTCAGATAGTTTAGACTAAACCATCTGCCCCATCTGCCCAAATGTCTGAGTTGAAAGCAAAGCAGAGAGCTGAACCCAGCTCCCTAGGTGCTCAGGCTTGCCTCGGAGGCAGGGTTTATGGCTGTGCCAGGATCAACGGTGGCATGAAACTGTGAGGTCTGAGGGCAACTGGCAGATGGGCTGTTGGAAGCACTTCTGGACATGGAAGCAGGCAAAAACTCCTAGGTGGGAGGAGGCGACAAAGGGAGCGGTGGAGAGAACAGGCAGGTGGGATGAGCACAGGGATGAATAATGCAGGGACTGACGGGGGATGCTTCTGCAGAGTGACAAATACAGCAGTCACGTTGCTTCCTGCAGCCCCTTCTACCCAGGCGTCTCCAGAAAGGGTAAAGTCACCAGAGAGATACCATGGAAGGAAACTACAATTGGGGAAACCTCAGGGATGGAGAATGACTTGCCCCAAAACTGTGGCAGAGCAGAGTTGAGAGCCCCCAAGCGAGGCCATCCCCAGCCGCAGAAAGGACCATAGAGCAGGCAGGGATACTCACGATTTCCCACATGGACTGGGCTGGCATGCAGGAATCGCAGTGAACCAGGGACTCTGTGGACTGAGGGAAGGTGTTTGGGACGCTGTAGCTGAAACACTGTCCCAGACAGGCCCTGCAACGACAACAGGAGGGATGAGGGCTCAGGGGAGGTGCCTGCTCCTCCCAACAAAGGCAGAAGGAGATCTGACCTTCCACCGAGAAAGCCAGAAGGCAGCCAGGCAGAGGCAGGACATTGTGCCTGGCTTCTTGAGCCAGTGACAGTCCCCAAAACCACCCCAGTGTCATCAGCAAATGGAAATCAGCTGCATCCAGCTCTGCCCTGAGGGTGGGTCCGTACCTGTTCTGGATGGACTTGGACTCGCAGCCGCTGTGCCCCACGATCTGGGTGATGTTCTTCGCCTCGCACCAAGCGCTCTTGTCTGGGAAGAGGGCGAGCTTGTTGATGGGGGGCGGTGCGGCCAGGAGCAGCGCTGGGAAGAGGGCACCAACCACGAACCATAACATCATGGCCAGCTCTGCCAAAATCCTACAACTGGAAACAGAGAGCAAAGCGTTAGCCGGAAAGAAACCAGGCAAGCCAGCCCGTTTCTCCAACCCCACGGCAGTTCTTGGCTGCGACAAGCGCAGGTATGTCCTCCCAGTGTGTCGGTACTCACATCTCCCTCCACAGCCACTGCTGTGGCCAGGAAGGCTCCCCAAACCACTGCACGGGGAGTGGGACATGCTGCTCTGCCTCTTCCCTCTTCAAAACAAGCTCTGGGGCAGGCAGATACCTGCATTACTTCTCCCGAGCTTTGTGCCAGGAGCAACAGCAGGCTTTTCATCATTTCCCACCCAAAGCTGGGCTGGGAGAAGTTTGCAAAACAAAAGCGTCACCACCATGGGCCAAGCCAGGTTGGCGAAGTCGTGGACCGCAGAAATGTTTTTATTTGAGGAAGGAGCAGACTTCCCCACTTCCTTTTCTCCCACTTTAAAAGCCAAAGCTGGCCTTGCTGCAAGCCTTCCCAGAGAAAAGGGACCGCTTTCCCGGGAAAGAAAGCCACTCTCCCCTAGAAGCGCGCAGCAGATGTCGCTGCAAGGCAGCAGCAAGCAGGGAGACGTGGAAACCTCAATCCAGAGGCTAGAAACCCGCAGAAAAGACCAGTGCAGCATTTATTTTTATAGAGCCGCTCAACTTCAGCAAACAGTTACTCTGAGGACGGGAACTCAGTCTGCAGACAAGGGGGGTCCTTTTAATAGCAAGCATAAACCTCGCTCGCAAAGGTGGTCGGCTGAGAAGGTTACTTACCACCCCCCGAGAAATCCCACGCAGGGTTTCCTTGCGGGCCAGCTGTATTCTCGAGCCAAGGTGCCTGCATTAACACTCCCAATCACTGGGGAAAGGCAGATGGAAAAGCATCATAGGGAAATTTTTTCCTTTGTGGGGTTTGGATGGAGTCATAGCGAAAGGCAGACATTTATACTTTCTAAAATATTTGTTAGAACCATGTTATTTGTTATTTCCTTCTATTTATTTATCCAGACGAAGATCCAAAGCCCACACTGGAAAGACTCCTGTTGATTCCCATGGCTCCTGGGCCCAGCCCTCTAACGCTTGCTGGGGAAGGAGAGGAAAAATGCCTTGTTTATCAGACGCCGGTGTCAGAGGCAGCTCTGCGCTGGGGACTCCCAGCCTGGCATTCCCCTGGTTACTCAGTCCGTCTGCACAGTCTTCACCACCACATCCTCAGCCAGAGGACCACCACGTTTATCTAAACTATTGAGATGGCCAAAGCTCCAGCTCAGATGGGGCAGAGGGTTTTGCCCTGTTATCCCTCCACTGAGCCCAACCTCCTGGATCTGAATCAAGAGAGACACGAGAGAGACATGCTTCCCCATCCTCCATCTCAAGGCAGCCAGAAAAGGGCATCCTCATTCCCCGGCCTTGGGATCTCTGGAGGAATCAGGTGGGGTCTCTGCTAAATTTTCTTATTTCCTCAGGATACAGGAACCATAATGGTCTAAGACAGCAACACCTTTATAGCCCTGGCTTCCTAATCCTCCTGGCACTTGTCGATGTGAGTCCCACGGGTGCCTGGTGAGAATACCTGCGCAAAGCAGGGTGTGCATTTTGGTTTGAGATGAGCAGAGGGTTTTAGCCCCTGAACTTGCACTGCCATTAACAAGAGTGGTGTGGTTATGTACATCTGTCCTGAAGACAACTCTTAGGGCTGACTTTTGTGCCCTGAATTTTTTTTCCATTTCAGTGGGGAATTCTGCAATTTCTGCTACGAAGGACACGGCTAAAATGCACGTACACACACTCAGTTTGCTTGGTTTTCTGAAAGGAGCATCACTCATTCCTCAAATGCCAGCGGCTCCGTGCTGAGGAATCCCGCTCCCAAAAGCAAGCCCGAGATCAGAGCTGGGATGTGACCCAAACAACAATCACAACCCCCCGGGGAACAGCCGAAATTCCTCTGGAGTCAGCACACAAGTTCACTTCCACATGCCCGATTAGAGAGCAATTTCCTTCTTTCCAAAGAAAGGTGGTGGCTGGGGTTTTTTTCCAGGTTTCTATGCATCTCTACCCAGCGGCAAAGAGGCAAAAATTTTTGTCTGCACTGACAGCCCTGCTTCCCTGAGACTTTTTTTTTGTGCTGGAGAGAGGTCTTTGATAGAGAGGTATTTCTGCAGCACCGGTCAGAGCAGACCCGTTGCCAGAGGCACGAAGGATCATCTCTGAGCATCTGGGCTCCTGTCTCGCTCCGATACCGAGAGGAAGATGAGTGAGGTTATGCTCCGCTAAAGCACAGGGCCTGGCCTGGATTCAGGAAAGCACTTAAACATATGGTTAGGCCCTCTCCTTTCCTGCGCAGGGACGTCTCCGTAACCAGGGCCCCGAGCAGCGCGGCCGCTGGTCCCGTTTGCAGAGGGGCCGTCGGCGAGCGGGGGAACCGGGTACCTCTGCAGAGCCGGAGCAATTGCAGCTCTACCTCCTTCTCCAGCGCGGCCGGGTGCTGGGCGCTGCTTTCCTCCGCTGGTTTTAAGCCTTGAACAGGCCACATCCACACGGTGTTTTCCTCCTCCCAAGAATGCCCTGGCCCCCGCAGGGCCACATTTCTAGTAAGTAACAAGGTTGATGCCAGTGCCTAGGAAAACATCTGATGCAGCTGAGTTTGGGAGGGAGCTGGGGCTGGAAACAGCCTGCTCGCAACCGCGGCATGTTCGCTGGCATAGTTCAAACCAGTCATGCGAACAGAGCTGCCACTAAAACCATTCATCTGACAGCAGCCACAGGGTCGGAGACAAAAGCACCGTGTTCCTTCTCCCCGCGGCTGGGAAGGGAAGGGGAAAAAGGAAGACAAGGCACCCGAGCAGGTTTGCAAACTCCCGATTAAATAAAGGCATTGAGCACATTCCTCCGTGACAAGCTAAATTACACGTTGCAGCCCCTAAAGGAACAAGTGTGTGCTCCCCGGCGCTGACCCCGGCCCTGGCCTGCCGGCGAGAGCAAGCACCTCCCCGCACACAGGGGCTTCTTTCTCTTCTCTGCACCAAGGCACATTTTTTTCCTGCTAGTCAAAGCTTTTCAAGCAGAAAGTTCAGCTCAGTTCCGGCAGACCCATCAGCCCGTGAGGGTCTCCCCCCTCTCGCTCTGCAGGGAACCGCATGGCAGCTTGCTCCGCCATCCCTGCAGCACGCATCTGAGAAATCAAATGACTCAGCCCTTGAGCCTGGCACATCCCGGACTCCGGAGACAAACAACTTCTCAGCGCACGCACAGCTGCAGCCTTGTGGTGAGCGGCCCCAGAGCCCTTTCCCAGCCTGTCCCTCAGGCCCGAGGAGCTGAGGGGCAAAGTGTCCAAGGCTGATGGGTCTCGGCATCCCTTCGAGGCCCAGAGAGCCTGGCAGGAGGCTGGCCAACGGCTGAGCCTCCCAGGAGCCCCGTTTTGGGATCTGGTGGTAGCATGCTCAGATGTTTTGTGTCACCTAGAAGAGCTCCTTCCTCCCATCCTGGCAGTTCTGGGGATTCTCTGGAGTCCCCGCAAGCAGGACAGTCCCCGCCAACGCCTGGAAGCAGCTGGGAAAATCTACATCGTTACATCGGCTGGAGGACAATCACGGGAATTACCTCGGAGGCCACGTTCCCACCATCCAGCCCACAGCTGTTCCTGGCCACTTGGAAACCTAACACTTCTGGAGGAAAATAAAAAAGATCTAATCAGTTTTACCCTCTTTTTCCAGTGGGAAGTTTACACCATAATACAAGACAAGCCTGCAGGTGGACATGGGGAACATTTCATGAGTAGTTTAATATATTTATAGGTATTTTTCTTATCCAAGATCTTGCAATTTTGCCAAACACTTAAAACACAGACACAGGTATATTGTGCTCATGGCCACACACGCAGCATCCCAGGTTCTGAGAGACAAGAAACCCCTAAGCTTTACAAACATTGCTTAGCCAAGGCTCAAAGCCTGCGAATACAGCACAGAAACAGTGTCAGCTCCACGCTGTAGCTAAAGAAAATGAGGTACAAAGCCCTACCTCAGTGCCTAACTCGGTGATTTAAGTCCTTGTGTGAAATGCAAGAGATCCCAGCGAGACGGACAAGGTGAAGGTTTCAGCTCCTGGTCTGGATCTCCTGCCTCCCTGGACACACGGCTGTCCTGCCCGACGGAGCCGGCTTCCCACCCAGCCTGGCTCTCAAGCTACACCACACCAAGCTGCCAAGAGCAACCCCAAGTTGGTGTTAGACATGAATCACAGCGGTACCGGGTCCTGCCTTTGCGTTCAACTAGTTATTTGTGTCATTTTGCTGACAAAAGCTGCTGCACAGCGCTGCTGGGAGAAAAGAAGGCCCCAAAGACGTGCTGCCGAGTGCACTGCGCCGTGCCTCAGTTTCCCTGCTTGTAAGACCGGAGACAGGGGAGTGCCATACACTGAGTGAGCTGACGGGTGCAGAGAGAGTGGGAAAAGCGTGGGGAGGTCTTTGGAGCGCCAGACTTCCTTCGAGGGAAGAGGCTGCCGGGGGCAGGAGGAGAGGGACGGCTGCCAACAGCCCTTGCCCCACACGACGCGGCGCACGTTCCTCGACGGGAAGGTGCTCGGGGGAAACGCCGCGCTGCAGGGCAGGCAGGAGTCAGGCTGGGACATCGCTGCGTGGTGGGGGAGTCACACCAGGACACCGTGCTGCAGGGGAATCGGGGATCGCTGCCTGGAGAAGAGAAAGCTGTCGAAGGACTCGGGTGGGATCACTCCTGTGCGTGGAGGTGGCCAGGAGCGATCTCTTTTGCAGGTAGCTGTAAATGCTAAAGGCAACCGATTATTTAGGCACCTAAAAGGAAGCAAAGCCACAGTGAGTGTCTAATTTGGTGGCAGCTGGAAAGAAAGATGTATCTGTCCCAGAAACATCCAGGGCAGGGATATCCTTAGACACAGGATTTTGTCTATACAGTAACTTCTGAATACTACAGGGAATTGCCTGTTAGGAATCTCAACTCAAATAATACTTGCTTACATGGAACAAAAAATATTATGG